TGTTCCAAGCACAACTAAAGAACTGGGAATTTACAAGCACTTAAAATTTGTGGGTTATACATAAACCTGACAAATGCCTACGAAGTCATAAAACCATAACTTTTGAGGTGATCCTGTCTGTCCGACTGAAACCTACAAATTCATGTGTAACTTCATTGTGTCTGGGCTCTAACCAAATAGTAAACAGCAAATTCAAACACCAATAGGTTGGCCTAGAGAATTAATCCCTGATTGGGGCATTAAACAATGCCCTGGCATGCCTTTGTCAGGATGTGTCTCCTCCTTACCTTACCTCCTCCAAACCTTATCTCTAAGATTTTCTTAATAACAGTGACGTGATGAAGGCCATACACATACTGCTTGGGTTCTCAGCTCTGAGTGTACTAGCTGGGGGAACTACCTAGGTTAAAGTCTTTAAAATGTTGCACTGATGAGGGAGAAATTGGTCTTGCTTGGGAGTCCTCACAGAGGAGCAGACAAGAGAGCTACAACTTGAAATAAGGAATTGGCTTTGAAGAGAAGTCACAGAGAAATTTCATCAGAGCCCCTTAGGCTCTTCTCATTAAGTCTGAGTGAGAAAATACAATTTCATATTCAATTGTATTTTAGACTTTTTAGCCTAAAATATCTATCTGGCTGTCTGTCTGTCTAGCTAGCTAGCTAGTGATCAATGGCTCACTGCAGCCTGGGCTCAAGCAATCCTCCCACCTTAGCCTTCCGAGTAGCTGGGACTACAGGCATATGCCACCACACACAGCTAATGTTTTGTTTATAGAGAAGGGGTCTCTCTATGTTGCCAGCCTCTCTTTCTCACTCTCTCTTTTAAAGAGATTTCAACTTGTTGCCCAAACTGGACAACTCCTGGGTTCAAGTGATCCTGAGTAGCTGGGACTAGAGGCTTGCTCCAGCACACCTGGCTTATGTGTTGATATAGGAGTTAAAAAGAAATTATTTAGGCAGATAGTGAGGGTAAGGAAGCCCTCAGTAAGGGTCTCCTTTTAACGAAAAGTAGTACCCAAATAATTTCTTTTGTAACAAAGAGCAGCCTGTAAAATTGAGCTGCAGACATGGAAAGGCAAGCTAGAAGCATACATGGGTGAATGCTGGCAGCTGTGCCAATAGGAAAAGGGTACCTGGGACTAGGCATGCCCACCATGGCAGCTTCATCTTCCCTTCTCTTTGCCACCCACGTGGATAGTAAGGAGCAGGTAACATGGTGCCAGCCAAGCAAAGATCCCATTTGTATATAAGAAAATTAGGATGGAATGGCCCGTTTCCATGCATGCTATGTAAACATCATACCTGGTCCAAACAATCTTTGGGCCCTATGTAAATCAGACATCACCTCCTTAAGCCTGTCTATAAAACCCTGTGCACTTTGCCACAGGTTGAAAGTCCCACTCAGCTGCCTCTAAAGCGTGCCGGAGAGAGAGCTATTCTACTTTCTCTTTCTTTTGCCTATTAAACCTCCACTCTTAACCTTACTCCACGTGTGTCTGTGTCCTGGATTTCCTTGGCATGAGGCAAGGAACCTCCAGTGTTACCCCAGACAATGACACCACTTCAGTGTGACTTTTAACAAACCTGGTTATGAGGTTTCCCTGCTAATTGCAAAAAACTGCAAAAAAGCAGGTAAAGATTACCAAAGGCAGAGGTAGCAACCAATAGAAAAAGAAGAGAGAAAATCTACAAAGAAGATGCAGACATTTAAAGAACCTCATCAACAGACTCAGGCTTCCCATGTGGGACAAATAGCCTCTAGAGCAATAATTAATGCTTATAATAATGACCTTTGGTTTCAAGAGGTTAAGCTACTTTTAAAATCTTCTAAGAAGGAAGAGAAAGATGTAATCAACTTGAATATGATTTTTGCCACATGATTAAAGTTAGTGATTAAAGTGATAACATGCATTTCTTTGATGGTTCTGAATAAACATGTTACTGTACATAGTCCTTTTTGGAAATTAAAATAATGTTAATAGGTGTATTAGTCTGTTCTCACATTGCTACAAAGAAATACCTGAGATTAGATAATTTATAAAGAAAAGAGATTTAACTGGCTCATGGTTCTGCAGGCTATACAGGAAGCATGATGCTGGCATCTGCTCAGCTTCTGGGGAGGCCTCAGGAAACTTACAATCATGGCAGAAGGTGCAAGGGAAGCAGGCATATCTTACACAGCCAGAGCAGGAGGAAGAGAGAGAGCAGAGGAAGGTGCTACACACTTTTAACTAAGCTGATCTCACGAAAACTCACTCACTATCACAAGAACAGCACTGAGGGGATGGTGCTAACTCATTCATGAGAACCCTGCCCACGTGATCCAATCACCTCCCACCAGGCCCCACCTCCAATATAGGGGATTACAATTCAACATGAGATTTGGGCAGGGCCAGAGAGCCAAACCATATCGATAGGAAAATAAAACTGTAATATAAATCAATAGAGAAGAATACGGTTTCTTAAACATCAGTTTTGCTTTTCAGATAACCATTTAGCCATTCGCCTAATAGTTTAGTGAAAAGTATAGTAAAAGTTTATGCCAATTTAAACTTTAGGACATTTAGGCTGGGTGCAGTGGCTCACACCTGTAATCCCAGCCAGCACTTTGGGAGGCTGAGGTGGTAGAATTACTTGAGCCCAAGTGTTCCAGACTAGCCTGGGCAACAGAGTGAGCCCCATCTTTATTTTTTAAAACAAAAACAAAAAACAAAAAAACTTTAGGACAATTAGTTACTCAAACTAGAAAAAGCATATTTTTAGCCATACTGATATCTCTATCTAGTCTCTCATATTGGCGAGATACCAGGATTTTTGTTGTTTTATTCTATATGGCCATCATCTAAGCTCCAACCAGATGAACAAAAAGTATCTACGAGTAATGCCAGAAAACAATAAGTACTATTCATAAGTACTCAACTAATGAATTTTCTTCCTTTAAAAAAATTGTAAGTTTGAAAATTCTAGTGCATATTTGAAAATTCCAGTGCGAGGCAAATAAATCTTCTCTAATTAAAGTCATCTAAATCACCCAAGATCAAAGCACCAAGACAAAAAAAAAGTAGTGATAAGAAAATAAAATTATAATTATAATTCATAACATTAAATTACAAAATGAAATATATAAATAGATCTCTTTTAAGTATAACATCTAAAAGAATTCTTTTGTGTTGGCGGCAGTGGCTCACACCTGTAATCCCAGCACTTTGGGAGGCCAAGGTGGACAGATCACTTTAACTTTGTGCTCAGGAGTTTGAGAACAATCTGGACAACATGGTGAAACCCCGCCTCTCCAAAAAAAAAAAAAATTAGCCAGGTGTGGCATTGCATGCCTGTAATCCCTACTTGAGAGGCTAAGGCTGGAGAATCACTTGAACCTGGGAGGTTAAGGTTTCGGTGAGCCGAGATCATGCCACTGCACTGCAGCCTGGGCAACAAAGTGAGACCCTGTCTCAAAATAAATACATAGATACATACATACATAAGTAAAATAATTCTTTTAAAGCTATAATTATTTTTTCTATCATTTAATTTTTTTTCCTTAAAAAATAAAATCAGGAATAGGAGTGGCTAAGCTTTTCATGGGATTAATTCATTTGTCCAAGGATTATAGTTGTGATGGTATATTGTACGAACATCTAAAAAGGAAATGTTTAGTAGACACTTATATGAGTAGTACACGGTGACTATTTTAAGGTAGATTAGTCAAATTCATTCTTCACCTGACAAGGCATATTCCTGTACTTTGAAATCTTTCAGTCAAAGTACATAAAATACATAGGAAAAAGCATTGTAATCCAAATGTTCAGAATCAAAAATTCAAGTGCATATTTTAAATCAGTCTTAAAAAATTAAACAAAATCTTATTCACCCTTTAAACAAGGTTTTTATCTTTATCATCTAGTAATGATATATTATGAGCATAGAAGTTTCTGTCATCTACAGAGAGATCTTTTAATAAAAAGCTAAAATAGTATAAAACCTGACAAATTTAGTCATTCTCAGCAGAAGTTGTTAGCTAGACAAAAATAAGTTCAATGCTAGTCAATAACAAACAGAGATTATGTTTTGAGGTGGTCTTAATATGGTTAATAAAACAAACACAAAATTTTAGATTGAAATATTGTTAGCACAAACATAAATTATTTGGTCATAAACTGGTAAAACTTACTATAGGATGTTGAAAATTTACCACATTTAAAATGAATACTTATTGTATTCATGGACAAAATATTTCACTAAGTTGATGTCACTTAAATCATTTGTAAAAGTGAATAAAAGTAGACTTTGCTTTAATGTATATTTAAAAACATAATAAAAATTAATGTTTGTATGAAGTATTATGATTTGATCAATGAGAAGTCATTTGTGAGTTCTTCCTTTTTAAAACAACTATATACATTTTTGCCTTGATTCATTACAACTAAATTATTTCATTTAAGCACTTTACCTAGAAATGTCATCTTTTAAACAATGGGGTCAGAGAATTAGAGAATTTAAGGGCTAGAAGGATCTTCAGGGAATATCCAGCGTGGGGGAGCTGCAAACCTTCATTTGCATCAGAAGTCCTGTGGTTCTTGTTAAAATGCAGACGACCAGGTCTTACCCCACCAAGCTGACTTAGTAGTCTGGGATGAAACCAGGAAATAAGCATTAGGGAAATAACCCTGGGGGTGGGGTTACACTCCTAACCCCACCCTAAGGTGACTCCCATGTAGGCTGTCTACAGATCACTGGGAGGAAAAATATTGTTATAATGTACCACCTTCCTTCCTAAATCAGGAAACTTCCTAGAACATCAGCATTCCATTTCTGCCTCAGACTACTCCTTCTTCAACCCCTATTGGTAACTCACTGCCTCCTGGGGCAGGCCATAATACATCTAATGGAAGTTTCTTATAGAAACCTGTACATATAAAACATAAAGACATTCAACGTCGGCTTACACAAATACATTAATGTAAAGACTCATTGAAGAATTATATGAATGAGGAACTGACCTGCTCCTTCTGGTATTTGTTAATTAGATTCAAAAACAAGGCATAACATCTGGAGTAGCTGGCCAAGGCTCCACAGCAGTCACGGTAAGAAGTAAGTTTGCTGCAGAAATGCCAAATGGGAAAATAAAGGTAAACTTTGTTTTTCTATAAAATTCAAGTACACATAGTATCACTTTAAATGCAGACCTTCAAAATATTGCCCAGTTCAAGAAAGGAGTCTAAAAATACTCTACACATCAGTTCAGAGAAGCTGCAAGGAGGCTTGCTATCTGCTCTAAACTATAGAGAGATGGATCCAGAAACTTTTAAAAGGTAACTTATGTATGTGATGTGAATTTACACTATCCACATAGTTCAGAAAACACAAACTTACATGAAATTTACATGAAATCTCATTGGATACCAGTGAGTCCCCTGGGACCACATCAGAAGCAAATGTAAAACTGCTTTAATAGGCTAGGCATGGTGGCTCATGCCTATAATCCCAGCACTTTGGGAAGCTGAGGCAGGTGGATCTCTTGAGGTCAGGAGCTTGAGATCAGCCTGGCCAACATAGTGAAACCCCATCTCTACAAAAATACAAAAATTAGCTGGGTGTGGTGGCATGTGCCTGTAATCCCAGCTACTTTGGAGGCTGAGGCAGGCTGAGGCTTGAACCCAGGAGGCAGAGGTTGCAGTGAGCCAAGATTGCACCATGGCACTCTGGACTAGGCAATGGGGCAAAGCTCTGCCTCAAAACAAACCAAAAAAACAAACAAAAAGAATTCCTATGCATTCAAAACAAACAAATAAATAAAAACCTGCGTTAATATACTAGATTGGTAGTGCTATACTAATATTAGGCAAAATAGACAGACCTTAAAGCAGACAGCCTTGAAAACAGCTTCAAAATTTCTAAAGCAAGTAAGCAAGCAAACAAACAAAACCCATAAGGCAATATTGACAAACCCACAACAAATCAGGAGATGTTCGTATATTTCTAATTGATGAATCAATAGGTAAAACATCATTAATATGTTAAAAATTTGACCACGTACCAGGCCATAAACAAGTCTCAGTAAATTTTCACAGAACTGGTATCTCAAAGACCACATTCTCAAGTCGAAGTGCAACTAAATTAGAAACCATTGGCTGGGCACAGTGGCTAACACCTGTAATCCCAGCACTTTGGGAGACCGAGATGGGTGGATCACGAGGTCAGGAGATTGAGACCATCCTGGCCAACATGTTGAAACCCCATCTCTACTAAAAACACAAAAAATTAGCCAAGCATGGCGGTGTGTGCCTATAGTCCCAGCTACTAGGGAGGCTGAGGCAGGAGAATTGCTTGAACCTAGGAGGCGGAGGTTGCAGTGAGCTGAGATCATTCCACTGCACTTCAGCCTGAGCAACAGTGCAAGACTCTGTCTCAAAAACAAAAAACTTAGGAACCATTTAAAAACTACATTTTTAAAAAAACATTTTTTTGGGAATGTAAGAACACATAATTTACGGGTCAAAGAAACATGAAAATTACAAAAGAAATACTTAAATATCAGTAATGAAAATATTACAAATCAAAACTTGCAGGATGGGCCAGCTGCAGTGGCTCACACTTATAATCCCAGCACTTCAGGAGGCTGAAGCAGGAGGATCGCTTGAGAACAGGAGTTCAAAACCAGCCTGGCCAACATGGCAAAACCCCATCTCTACTAAAAAAAAAAAAAAAAAAAAAAAACAAAAAAATTAGCTGGGCGTGGTGGCACATGCTGTAGGGCCAGCTACTACAGAGGCTGAGGCAAGAAAATCACCTGAACCTGAGAGGCGGAGGTTGCAGTGAGCCGAGATGGCAACATTGCGCTACAGCCTGGACGACAGAGCAAGACTCTATCAAAAAAATGACAAAAAAACTTTGTAAACATTAATTTCCTCCAATTAGTATTTACAGGAAAATTTGTAGGCTTAAGGAAGCTGAAAATAAAGGAGTTACATTTTTTACTAAAATAGTTAGAAGAAAAATAGGATATATTCACAGAGAGAAGAAAAGGATTAATAAGGGTAAGAGCAGAAGGAATAAGACAAGAAGCAAGCATACAACAAAGTGGATCAATAAATAGATTTGTTCTTGGTAAAAACTAATAAAATAGGGAAGATTTAGCAAGACTAAGGAAAAAGAGAAACAGCACGAATAATCAAAAGTAGGAAAGAAAATCATTATTAACAATGAAGACGCAGAGTATCACAGGAGTCCGAAGTATGAATTCTAGAGCCAGACTATGGTTTGAATGCAGCTCTACCACATACCAGTTGTGTGATCTCGGGAAAACAGCTAAACTTCTCTATGCCTCAGTTTCCTCATATGTAAAATGATAATGACAATAATAATACATATTTTTAAAAGTTGTTATAAGGATGAAATGAATTCGTATTTGGAAAGTATTCAGAATATTGCCTAGCATGTTGTAAGTGCTATACAAATATCTGTTAAATAGGTAATAAAAGGAGGCATAATCAGAGATACAACTGAGATTAAAATAATAATGAGAATATTTGGAACAACTCTCACATTGTTTGAAAACTTGGATAAAATTATCAAATTCCTAGAGAAGTATAACTTTTTGAAACTGAACCAAGTAGAAAGAAGAAATATATAATAACCATATAGGAAGAAATTGAATCAGTAGTCAACAATATTCACATATACATACACACATATAGACCCAGGATAAAAATAGCATTTTGAGCAAGTTTTTAAAACTTTTCACAGCCTCTTCTAGTAAAAAGAAAAAATTCGATTACCTACCAACCCATTTTATGAGGCCAGTATAAATTTAACACTAAACCCAGACAAGGACAATATAAGAAGGGAAAAATACAGTTCAATGTAACTCATGGTCACCAATGACAAATCCTAAACAAAATATTAGTTAACCAAACCGAGCAATATATAACGGTTAAACCAAGAAACTTTATTAATGTAACTTACTACATTAACAGATTTAGAAAAGAAAATCCATAATCAAAAGCAATTCAGGTAAATGTGATTTATCATACACACAGAACTAAAGACAAAAACCACATGATTATCTCAATAGACACAGAAAAGGCTTTTGATAAAATTCAACACTCCTTAATGTTAGAAACTATTAATAAACTAGGTACTGGTGTCAGGCATGGTGGCTTGCTCACACCTGTAATCCAGCACTGAGGTCAGGAGCCTGAGACCAGCCTGGCCAATTTAATGACACTCTGTCTCTACTGAAAATACAAAAATTAGCCAGGCATGGTGGCACGTGCCTGTAATCCCAGCTACTCTGGAGGCTGAGGCAGGGGAACTGCTTGAACCCAGGAGGCAGAGGTTGTAGTGAGCCAAGATCATGCCACTGTACTCCAGCCTGGGCAACAGAGTGAGACTCCATCTCAAAAAACAAAACAAAAAACTAGGTATTGAAGGAACAGATCCCAAAATAATAAGCACCATCTATGACAAACCCACAGCTAATATCATACTAAATGGGCAAAAGCTGGAAGCATTTCCCACGAAAACCAGCACAAGACAAGGATGCCCTTTCTCACCACTCCTATGCAATGTAGTATTGGAAGTCCTAGCCAGAGTAATCAGTCAAGAGAAGGAAATAAAGGGCATCCAAACAGAAAGGGAGGAAGTCAAACTTTCTCTGTTTGCAGAAGGGTAGCTATGAAAACCTACAACAAATATTATTTTCAACTGGTGTAACCATGAAAATGTTTCCTTTAAAGTCAGAAGAAAGACAACAGGTCCAACACTCACCAATGATTCTGCATCTAGAAAACCCCATCATTTCAGCCCAAAAGCTCCTTCAGCTGATAAACAACTTTAGCAGTTTCAGGATACAAAATCAATGTATAAAAATCACTAGCATTCCTGTACACCAACAACAGCCAAGCTCAGAGCTGAATCAGAAAGGCCATCTCATTCACAACTGCCAAAAAAAGAATAAAATACCTGAGAATACAGCTAACCAGGGAGGTAAAAGATCTCTACAATGAGAATTACAAAACACTGCTCAAAGAAATCAGAGAAGACACACACAAATGGGAAAACATTCCATGCTTATGGGTAGGAATAATTAACATCATTAAAATGGCCAAACTGCCCAAATTTATAGATTCAATGCTATTCCTATCAAACTACCAATGACATTCTTCACAGAACTAGAAAAAAAAAACTATTTTAAAATTTACATGGAACCGAAAAAGAGCCCAAATAGCCAAGGAATCCTACATAAAAAGAACAAAACTAAAGATATCACATGCCCAACTTCAAACTACATTACAGCACTGTGGTAACCAAAATAGTATGGTACTGGTACAAAAACAGACACACGGACCAATGGAACAGAATAGAGAGCCCAGAAGTAAGGCTGCCCACCTACAACCACATGATCGTCAACAAAGCTGACAAAAACAAACAATGGAGAAAAGACTTTTTATTCAATAAATGATGATGGGGTAACAGGCTAGCCATAGGCAGAAGACTGAAGCTGGACCCCTTCCTTTCACTGTATACAAAAATCAACTCAAGATGGATTAAAGACTTAAATGTAAAATCCAAAACTATAAAGACCCTGGAAGATAACCTAGGCAATACTATCCTGGAAATACCAGGCAAAGATTTCATGACAAAGACACTAAAAGCAAACGCAACAAAAGCAAAGTTGACAAATGGGATCTAATTAAATTTAAGAGCTTCTGCACAGCAAAAGAAACTATCAACAAAGTAAACGGATGCCACGTGTGGTGGCTCACGCCTGTAATCCCAGGACTTTGGGAGGCCGAGGCAGGTGGATCACGAGGTCAAGAGATCGAGACCATCCTGGTCAACATGGTGAAACCCCATCGCTACTAAAAATACAAAAACTTAGCTGGGCATGGTGGTGCGTGCCTGTAATCCCAGCTACTCAGGAGGCTGAGGCAGGAAAATTGCCTGCACCCAGGAGGCAGAGGTTGCGGTGAGCCGAGATCGCGCCATTGTACTCCAGCCTGGGTAACAAGAGCGAAACTCTGTCTCAAAAAAAAAAAAAAAAGTTTATGAAAAGATTCAGGGCAAGTGTTTGACAAAACTTAACACCCATTAATGAGAAAAAAAGTCGGTCCTTAATTTCAGGGTAGTTATGAAAACCTACAACAAATATTATTTTCAACTAATAAAACCACGAAACTATTTCCTTTAAAGTCAGAAGAAAGACAACAGGCCCAACATTCACAATTGTGTGCTGAACTCCTAAACAATGCAATAAAGAAGAGATGAGGACAGGGGAAAGAGTTATAATAATTGAAAAAAAAAATTACATGCAGACAATATGCATAGAAAATCCAAGAGCAGCTACAAATTCCTAGTCCTAATGTTCATCAAGATTCTTGGATATCCTTCCTGTAGGAGACAGCTACAATACCTAAATAAGTAAATATTTTAAAAGAGGTACTGATAAAAGGTTAATAAGTTCGTAAGGGAGGGAAAAGAACAAGAAGAGTCTGAATTTTTTTTTTTTAGAGTCTTGCTCTGTTGCCCAGACTGGAGTGCAAGTGGCACTATCTTGGCTTACTGCAACCTCCACCCCCCAGGCTCAAGCAATCCTCCCACCTTGACCTCTCAAGTAGCTGGTACTACAGGTACACACCACCATGTCTAGCTAATTTGTTGACAAGGGGTGTAGGGGAGGCACTAGAAATGGGTTTCACCATGTTGTCCAGGATGGTCTCAGATGCTTGGGCTCAAGTGATCCCCCTACCTTGGCCTCCCAAAGTTCTGGGATTACAGGCATGAGCCACTGTGCTGACCAAGAGTTTGGATCTTAAAAAAGAAAAAAAGTGAGGAATTTGAAGGCCAGGCAAGGTGGCTCACACCTGCAATCCCAGCACTTTGGGAGGCTGAGGCAGGAGGATCACTTGAGCCCAGGAGTTTGAGACCAGCCTGGGCAACATAGCAAGACTTCGTTTCTACAAATAATAAAAGTGGCTGACCATGGTGGCGTGCACCTGTGGTCCCAGCTACTAGGGAGGCTGAGGTGGGAGGATCGTTTAAGCCTGGGTAGTTGAAGCTGTAGTGAGCCATATTTGTGCGACTGCACTTCAGCCTGGGTGACAGAGTGAGACCCCATCTCAACAACAAAAAGTGAAGGATTCATCTTATAGCAAGACTCAAATTAAATCTATAATAGTGAGTACACTGTGGGACAGGTCTGAGGAAAAACCAAATCGAATGCCCAGAAACAAACCTGCAATTACATGGAAACTTCTGTCTGACTGACAAAATCAGTGAGAAAGGACAGCATAGTCAGTAAAAGGTGCTGGAACAATCAACTATCCACATGGGAAAAATATGAAGTTGGACCCCTACATGACACTATAAGCAAAAACAAATTCCTTATGATTTTACAATGCTTTAGATAGGTAGTAATTAGGAATCCAGAACAAAGCTCAGGGAAGTACAGTCTAAAAAGATCAGATCTGGAGGGAAGGAGGGGGCTGGGGCTGGGGCTGAGGAACCACCTGTTGGGTACTATGCTTATTGCCTGGGTGAAAAAACTGTGGAGACCCCAAACCTCCATGTCACACAATTTACCTATGTAACAAACCTGCGTACCATTTAATCTATAATACAAGTTGACATTCATTTAAAAAGAAAAATCAGATCTGGACTCACATCCGCATCCAGGGGTCCTGGGGTCAAGTACCAATTCAGGAAACTTTGCATTTCTTTAAACAACTACAGCATTACAGTTCAAGAAAAGCCCCATGCTTCCAAGAAGAATCATTATGTAAGAATACTGACAAAGAGCGGGAGGAAACAGAAATGCATAATTTAAAGACAGCTCTGAAATTTAACAACACCTTACTTTGAGCCAACCTGGATTTAAATGATCCTTACTTCTGGAAGAAATAAAATAAGTGTAGACATGAAGCACAAGTGTGAACCAAAGTTCAAATCGCTGAAGTAGAATAACCTATTACAAAGTCAGATCAGACTTTCTAGGCATTGGTCCCCTTTCTGATTTAAAACTCCTGTTTATTTCCCAGCAAACTGGAATGTTTGCTTTGTTTTGTATACAGTTTTTTTTGAATCTCAAATAAGCTGAGAAGATTAAGCAAATGCTGCAGTAGCTCATAACTCACCAAAGAACTAAAATGACTTAACAACCAATGAGTTTAGAATCACAATAGAATGACATAGGCAATGGAGTCATTTGTTTGAATTGTTCATTTTTGACTTGGGCCACTATATTCACCCTTACTGGTAGGTGATGTAAAAAGAAGAAGAGAAAGGATTCCTTGGCCAGTCACTCAGGCAAATATTGAAGATAACCAAAAATCTAAGCATTAGCATTTTTGTAAGGCTAGTTCACGTGTTAAGTCTACCTACCTGAATATTCTGGCAATATTGGTACAGACGTCCTTGTCACCCATGTACTGTTCCATCACCGTGCAGAGCTGGGGAAGGGCACTGATGCTTAGGAACTTACTTCTTACTAATGGTGAATCAACCAAGTTTCTCAGTGTAGCAGTCACCTAGGATAAAAGCATGCTTGTGTCACTTTTTTTTAAACTGAAAAAGTATAACCACACAAAGCAGCACAGTACAATTCATCTCATAAATTTCCTTACATCAGTAGCTAAACCAAGCTCCCACTACGCATCTCCCACAGAGAATGTGAGCCTAGGCACAAGTAGCGACAAAAGAAAACAAAGAAAGCCTAATTTAGTTCAAAGGCAAGGAATGGAATGTTAACCTTAGTAAGCCATGGGTATACCCCAAAGCGAGGGTTAAACAAATCATCATCTAGGTTTGTTAACAGTCCTAAGATCTTCAACCAGCCCTATGATAGCCACATCAGTTCCACAGATTAGAAATTTCTTGTTCTATGTTTTTCTTTTTCTTTTTTTATTTTATAGGTATTCTCATCTGATTGTTCTATGCTTTTTTATAAGTAGCATCAGCTAATGATGCGGCCAAGGAATATTTAAGATCTTTAGTTGCATTCTCTCCCAAGAGGCAAGAAGATCTCACAAATTTGTCTTCGTTTGTAAAAAAATTTTCAGGAAAGCTATCTACTTTAACTTTGTCAAAGAGTCAAGAAGAGAAGAGTTTAGTTCATCATAAAACTAACGTGATTGAATAATTTTAATATGCAGTGTGCTCCTTCCTTGTAGGACAGTACAGGCCAGCTACTGGTTAAGAGCCAGTTCAACCCCAACACCTGTCAGCCTGGGTTAGTTATTTAACTTCCCAGAGCACATTTTTCTCATCAATAGTGCAGAGGTGATGATACGTGCCCAGCAGTTGTGAGGATTCAATGAGATGAGATGTGTGCATGGCATCGCTGCCAACAGTTAAGAGTCAAATGACAGGGATTCAAGTCCCATTTCTCTTCCTAGTGAAGTGCCTGGGGCTAGCCACTACTTCCCCATTTCCTCATCTGTGAAAAGTGGGTGAACAAGCACTGCTCACCTCTCAGGGGGTTGTGTGTAGCAAATGGAAACATTTAGCACTGTTTTTATTACTTATCTAATACTGTAAAGCATCGTGTAAACATAAAGCATCACTATAGCCATAGTAAATATACTTTTAAAAACAATTATTCAGATGACATGGTTTTTCCTTATAACAGCAGCAACTAAAAGATATGTTAAATTTTAACTGACTACCCTGAAAACACAGAAAATGTAAAAAAAAAAATCCTTCAAATAAATGGTACACGTCTTTTGCAATCAATTCAATTATACATGATTCTGTAAATTCTTCCCTGAAAGTTTCAGTATCCCAGACGTTGGAGGTTAAACAAACTATTTGAGCATTCCACTTAACCCATGGATCTGTGTAATATCACAATATAGTGATAACTATTCCTATAACCTAAGGGATGGATTTTTTTTTTTTTTTTTTTTTTTTGCGACAGAGTCTCCCTCTGTCATCCAGGCTAAAGTACAGTGGCAGGATCTCGACTCACTGCAACCTCCATCTCCCCCATTCAAGCAATTCTTGTGCCACAGCCTCCCAAGTAGCTGGAATTACAGGTGCATGCCACCATGCCTGGCTAATTTTGTATTTTTAGTAGAGACGAGGTTTTGCCATGTTGGCCAGGCTGGTCTCGAATTCCTGGCCTCAAGTGATCCACCCACCTCAGCCTCCCAAAGTACTGGGATTACAGGGGTGAGCCACTGCGCCCAGCCAGGAATGGATCTTTTGTGAAGACTAATGAACCATTCTAGGAATTCTGTTGCTGTCACAAAATGGAAAATTCTCATCATCTGACCCTGTTTCTACCTGTTCTCCTGAGACAGCCCAGGCACTTGAACACTACTGGTTTACATCAATTCAGAGGATACCTCAAAATTCTCTTCCATAGAGACCAGAGTACAGATGCCTGTGTGACTCCAAGGCAGACAGACACTACGGGAAACATGAAATACCCATTCCAGTCACTGCACACCAACGGTTCCTTTTCCCTGTCCCCAAAGCATCAAAGATAGGGCATCCCAATCCACAGTCATCTTCACACTCCCTCCATCTAACCTCTGGCAGAAAGGACACCAGCAGAAAGGATCATAGTTTCCTTAGGAACTTTTATTTTCTTGTTTTAATCTCAATTTTTTCCCCTTCTCAGGCCTTATTCTCATCTCATTAGAAAAAGTTTAGACAGCTCAAGGTTATTCTGCCCCACATATACAACTTTCATAAATAACCAAAGTCAGGAGAGAAAGCCCACATTTATATGTGACACGTCATCTGATCGAAATCCCTACCCATTTACTGCATGTGATACACAGAGTTGAGTAATATACATACCTTACATATTTCCAAGTTTGTCATTTGTGGTGCTGGCAGAAATAATGTACATGAAACATACCACACATTTGAAAAATACACAGCAGTAATTCAGTGGGTGATACCATCAACCTAGTTGCTCAAGCAGAGACATCCCAGAATGCTGCCTTTCTGCCTTCTGTTACCCCAAGCCATACTGACTTTTTGTCCATAGCTCCCAAGATAATATTCAGTTCCCTGACCATGGACTACAGGGCTTAATAGATCTGATCCTTCTCAACCTATCAAGCTTCATCTCATATCATATAGGGCCCATAAACTCTACTTCATACTAAGTTATTTATATCCCTCCAGACTAGAAGCTTCAGGAAGGGCATAAACCTGGTTCATCCTTTTCACCACTGTACTTCCAGCTCCAAGTCTAGTGCCTTTCACCACTGTACTTCCAGCTCCAAGTCTAGTGCCTGGTACATGGTGGGTGCTCAATAGGCATTTACTAATGGCACGAATGAATGGGTGAACATCTACAAAGGAAAGACTGGGATATCAGAACACCATGGGCTAAGCAGACAGTATCTCTGAGGTAGATAGATTTTAAGATGATTTTTTTTTAACGCAGAGGAATCAAAAATTATGAATGAAAGAAAAATGGACTCTAGAGAGTTACCCAGCTCAGGCTTCTTTTTGAGACAGAGTCTTGCTCTGATGCCCAGGCTGGAGTGCAGTGGAGCAATCCTGGCTCACTACAACCGCCACCTCCCGGGTTCAAGCAATTCTTCTGCCTTAGCCTCCCCCAAGTAGCTGGGATTACAGGTGCCCACCACCATGCCCCCACTAATTTTTGTATTTTTAGTAGAGAGAGATTTCACCATGTTGGCCAGGCTAGTCTTGAACTCCTGACCTCAAGTGATCTGCCGGCCTCAGCCTTCCAAAGTGCTAGGATCATAGGCATGAGTCACCATGCCCAGCCTCCTGCTTATTTTTCAGAACCCAGCTCAGGATAACTTCTCTATGAAGTCCTTTCCAAGGCTGACCAGTCATTTCCTCTTCTATGTTACCAAAGCATCCTGTTGCTGCCTCTATAACCCCCATCACAAAAGCATCCTCACTGTTTCAGGTACCTTCTCTCCCATGGTGAACTCCTCTAGGATATAAACCACTTCTTATTTCTCTTCCTACTCAGAGGACAACAAATGCGCTCATAAAAAGCTCTTAAATGTTCAGCTGCTGGAGGGCTGGATGAGCAAATGAGAAGGGGAAGGAGAAGGAAGAAATAAGAGACAGGAGAGATAAAAAGGGAGTTTTCCCCTTTAAGACACCTCTGGCAAGAAAGTGCAGGAGTTTAACAGATGCCTGGATGAACCAGGGCTTAAAGCCCTGAGGGAGAAGGATCAGAAAGAGGTCACCCAGGCAGGTGCAACTCTGAAGGTCTCTATCTTGAGAGACTGTCACCAACCTCTGAGAGCCACCAATCTGACTGTGGGATGACAGTGGGGCTCTGAATGCTCAGACCAGTAGCTTTTTCTGGAAAAAAAATGCAAAAACAAATAAACAAACAAAAATTGGGTGTGGGGAGGCAAGTCTAGCTAAATCATGTGGTCACAGTAAAGGCAAGTTCCAAGTCAACACACTTCACTCTGAATTTTACTCCAACTTTTAAATTCATTGTATACAAATGAAAATTAAAACAAAACAAAACAAAACAAAAACAAGAACTCTCAGTTGAACAGAGATAAATCTGTGAAAATCACCAATGAGCTCTGCGCTCTGCTCAGAGGGTCTTTATTTCCCACCTACCCCTGCCCCAAAGCCCCCCCACTGGGCCTGCCCCCAAAGCGGGAGTTAATCCATGGCCAAGCTTTATGCTTGGAGGTATCCATCCATTTCTTTCTCAACTTACTATTCTAATGTATATTATTTATAAATGCACAAACTTAGATACACATTTTTCTTTTCTATTGTATATATATTGTATATAATCTTTCTTTTTTTTTTTTTTATTTTTTTTTTGGAGACGGAGTCTCCCTCTGTTGCCCAGGCTGGAGTGCAGTGGTGCAATCTTGACTCACTACAACCTCCACCTCCAGAGTCCTGGTTCAAGCAATGCTCCTGTGTCAGCCTCCTGAGAAGCTGGGATTACAGGCATACACCACCATGCCCAGCTAATTTTTGTATTTTTAGTAGAGATAGAGTTTCGCCATGTTGGCCAGGCTGGTCTTGAACTCCTGACCTTGTGATCTGCCCGCCTTGGCCTTCCAAAGTGCTGAGATTACAGGTGTGAGCCACTGCGCCTGGCCTATATTGTATATAATCTTTCAAACCATCTCAAATCCCTTACTTAAAAAAAGTTTAAGTTAAATGAACACCTAGATACTTGCTTAGTCTCTAAAGGACTTAGAGAAATTTCCAACCCCTTAAGTAGCATTTCACCAAGAAATGACACACTGAAAAACACAAGTTTTAATTCTTTTTTTCCCCATCTCCTAACTTGCAATCCTGTGGAACTGATACAGTGAGTCAGAAGGCAGCCAGTAGGAAGAAGAAAAAAGAGAAGAAAATGGCACTGATAATCCACCAAAAGGATGAATAAAAATATAAGTTTCCTTGCTTATTAGCCATCGTTAGGTGATGTTTAGGACAAAAAGGAACCTCAGGTTTTGGTAAATATCCAGGAAGAAACATTCCATTCTGCTTCTGGTTACTAATCTGCTGAAAAATCACTCAGCTACACCTGACAACCTTC